TTGTTTTCAGGATATTTACCAAGTTGCAGCTATTAAAAATTTATTGAACAGTTGAATAGGCATACAATCACAACAGATGAATTCATGATTGAATGACTGATGACTGAGTACATGATCACTATTTTCCAAAGTTCTTTATAACTCTGCTAGTATATCTTAGTGCTGAAATATCTTTTTTTGAGTCGCTTTTTTTTGGAATGAGTTATCACAGATTTCTAAAAACTATTATGTATGTATGTATGCTTGCCATTGTCCTCTTCCTAAAGCTAAGAGAGAGTGACTGGCCTGAGGTCACCCAGGTGGCTTCATGTCTAAGGCAGGACTAGAACTTAAGGTCTCCCTGTTTCTAGCCTGGGGCTTTAACCACTACACCAAACTGGCTCTCTTGTAGTCTTCTAAAATCATGCTGCTGAATTTTGCCATTCCAACTTTTTTGTTTCAAAAATAAGGATAGGAATAAGACTAGAAGGCGTCAAAGAGTCAAAACATTCCCACACTTTTCTCAACTTCCAACCTCTTTATTGCTGCCAAATTTCAGTGTTGTAATTTCAGTTCATTTTTCAAGATTAGGGTGGGACAGAGAACAGCTTGCCTTATAGATGCTGCCCCTATTCCCACCATTAAAACCCCCCAAATATTTTCATTCCAGGGATATCACCGCACACCAAATGACATCTTGTGGCTCCTCAGAGGGTCTGCAGGCAGATTTGTGCCCCTGAACCTTAGCAGTTTGCCCACCCCTTACTCTTATGCAAGAAGGAATTTCTGTTGTGGATTCTTGAAAAACACCCAATAGTGTTTTTGACATGCATGAGTAAAATTAGGTCACCTGATCTAAAGGTTTAGCTCACTTAAAATGCATTCTTTTCTAAAAGTAAAAGGACAAATTGCTAATAGTTGGACAGTAGTCTAACTCATTTATCTTCTCAATTTGCAACTGTATTTAATAACTCTGATACTATCTTTATCTCAAGAGTCATTTGATCATTTCAGTGTCCAGTTATATAAGGAGATGCAAAAGTCTAAAACTTCCACAAGGCATTGCTCTATAGGATGCTATTTCTAAATTTATTTAATGGTCTGCCAGCTTTATTTTTTTCCTGGACTGTCTTCCTGACATATTTTTCTGTTGTGTCCAATTATCGTATCTCAGATGCTGACTTCCATCATTGAGGCCCCTTGCCATTTATGACATATTATTAAATAAGTTCATGAAGAATAAAATTACAAAATGTATTAATGTAATCCTGGCCTATCCAGGATGAGGAATTGGACAGTCTGACAAAATATTAATTTTTCCTCTGGAATCTTACCTGTGACAGAAATCAGTATCAGTCTGTACTTGTGCAAGATTAAAGGGCCTTGCTTATTTGGGGCTGAGGCATTCTGAAGCTAAAAATATCATCAAAAATCCTATCTCAGTCAGGACTGCTATGTTTTGCATGTTGGCTGTGAGATCCAAAAGATCTCCTTAATATCAAAAGTATCCCACATACTGTAGTCTCATTAACTAGACTGTGATAAAGCATTAATCTTTTAAGAAATACATATATTGCTTCAGGAACCTACCTATTTATCCCTTTCTGAATCCTTATACACTAGATAATTCAGTGTACTGTACGTAATTAAAGCTAATGAGAGATACCAGTTTGTTCCAGGGTTAGATAGAAAAGATTTTCATGTAACAGTTCTGTGTAAGGGAACCCATGTCTTTCAGCTCCTTATCTGTCATATAAAAGCTATCAGCTATCCAAACTGCAATGCTGTATTTTGCAGCTGCTACGATAGAGGTGTGTTTTACAATATTGAAGGGATCTTTTGCAGCAAATATCTTGTGGCACTTTAAAAGCAGTCATATTTATTATTGTGTGAACTTTGGATCATGCCATCAAGTGCATGTGAAGAAGCTATTGAATTGCTTAATCTGTGAAAAGTGAGCCTTTTGTGGGGCTTTCAGGGTCCCTCCCATTATTACTAGGTCTCCAATTTCAAAAGAAGAAAGAGAATTAAAACAAAATGGAATAAAATGCTTTAGTATTGGGAAATGTTAAAAGGCAGAACCCCACACACATGTTCACATGAGGCCACATCAATTGTCAGTTGAGTGTATCACCAATACCCTCTTTTATACCTTGGCAGAGAAATGGCAGGAAGAGAAAACCCCATTGCTTTCTCTTGTTCACAGTGATCTTGATGTACATACCTGGAGGGGGTAACCATATTTTTCCTTTCTTTCCAGTAACCTTGCTCAATGTAACTAGCTCCCTGTGCTAACAACAGCAGGAAGCTATTTATCTTTACTGGGATGATGGAAAAAAAGAAAGCAGAAGGTTTCCTTCTGTTAGCAGTGTTTTCAAGGATAATGTGATGAAAGGGAAGCTTCATTGCTGCAAATGGTGGCAGAAAACTAGAATATTTAGCAAGGGGAGAAAAACTTAGGCTTTTTCCAGTAAAATTATTCTTCCTCCCCTCTAGAAAGCTAATCTTCCTAATCAGCTGCCCAGTAATCAACAAATCACTGAGTCTGTGCTGCAGGGCTGACTCAGAGAAAGGCCTGTGGAGTAATCCATCTTTGCATTAGCTCAATCTTTAATTTTTACATCAATCCTGCAGTCACATGATCAAAATTTGGGCGCTTGGCAACTGGCATGTATTTACGATAGTTATAGCATCCTGGGGTCACATGATCACCATTTGTGACCTTCCCAGCTGGCTTCCAACAAGCAAAATCAATGGGGAACCATGTGATTTGCTTAACAACCGCATCATTTACTTAATGACTATGTGATTCACTTAATGACCATGGTGATTTGCTTAACTGCCACAAAAAATGTCATAAAATCAGGTGCGGTCACGTGATGCCTTGCTTAATGGCCGCACTGCTTAACGATGAATTTCCCAGTCCCTCTTGTGGTTGTAAGTCGAGGACTGCCTGTATTGCTTTGAAGGTTGAAATGGCCTTGTATTATTCTCTCGTTAGGGTGCCAGATTTTTGACTTTGGCAAAGTTTATGCCTTTGGCAAAGTTGCTTAATATTCCTGCAGGGGATGAAGCAATAACCACAGTCATTCAGGACATCCTGGTGCAGCAAATCCCAGCTCTCTTCTCAAATGTAGCAAGGCGTCAGTCTCCAAAGTCCTGTTGGTCTTGATTTGCTTTGTTTTGATTTTGGTGCTGCAAACGGACTCGGGTGTTGAAGATACACTTCTGTTAAGTGTGGTTGGATTTTAGAAATTCAGTAGTGATCTCTTTTCTCAGTTACCATGTGGTATCAGGACATGTATATTTACATTTTGCTGGATTTAGTCTTTTGAGAAGTTGGTTCTCAAAAGACTAAATATAGTAATAGGAAGCACTATTTGCCACGGATTACTCAGAAGGTCAAATGAGAGACAGTGATCCTATAAAACTGTATCATCAGATAAGTTAAATACTTGGAGCTTCAAAGAGAGAGAATATATCTTTGGAATGCTGGACGTTCCCCCAAATAAACTAAATCCAAATATTTAGGACAAATTCTCCTTAGGACCTTGGTTTAACCATCTCTTTTAAACGTATTGTTATAATACAAGGCTGTATGCTTGGAGGCTTATTTAGCCTTTTCCTACAAATTAGCACAATTTGTTTAAAAAGAAAGGTAGCCATTTTCTTGAAAAGGCTAATTTAGTTGTACTTCATGAGAAAAAGGAAGAAAATAAGAGAAAAAATGTTTTGCTGGATTATTATTTAGATATTTCAGCAACCAAATGCACAAGGTTTTTCCAGCCTTGAAAACTTCTGAAGTATGACTTTGTGTGTGTGTGTGTGTATACAAATAATGTATATACATACACACAGGCTACAGAACAACATTTCAGAAGTTTTGAGGTTGGTTTCCTTTCTTTACTGTTGTCAGTTGTCATTGGAACCCAAGATGCACCAGTGTTAAGTGGGAAGTGGAGGGAGTCCCAGGTAAGGAGTGTAGAGGTGCTGAAAGGGGGTGGGGGAGGCCCTGGGAGGCCCAGCGCAGGCTGCATGTGAGTTGGGGGAGGGGGTGTTTAGTGCAGCATAAGCTCAGAAAGGCTGGGGAATGAGGGCACAGGGTGCATGCGATCACAGGGAGGCCATGGAAAGAGGGCGTGGGGTGGGTGTGATCACAGGGAGGCCAGGGAAGGAGGGCATGGAGTACATACGTGTGTGTGTGGGTGTGTGAGATTACAAGGAGGCCGGGGAAAGAGGGTGCAGGGTGTGTGTGTGCATGTGGCGATCGCAGGGAGGCTGTGGAAAGAAGGTGTGGGGTGTGGGCAAGTGCAGAGAGACTGAGGAAAGAAAATGTGGGGTATGTGCAAACAAAGGGGGGAAGGAGGGCACAGGGTATGTGCAAGTGAAGAAAGGGGGTGGACACTTAACCCAGCGACTTGCGACTTTCTTTGCTGGTTTCCCATTGACTTTTGCTTGGGGGAAACCAGTAGGGAAGGTTGCAAATGGCGATCATGTGATTGTGGGGTGCTTGCAACCAGTCATAAGTGCAAACTGGTTGCCAAGTACCCAGATTGCAATCATGTGATTGCGGAGGTGCTGGAATGGCTGCAACTTCAAGGACCGGTTGTAAGTCTCCCTAACCCTAACCGTTGTGGTCACTCAAGGACTACCTGTAAAGCTTTCAACAAGCTTTCTTTCTGCATGTTGAAGATGATATCTTTACTGTCTTCTAGCTGTATTCTAAAACAAGTAAGTTATTAAATGGTTATGAGCATGGTGCAGGTTGAATAGAAGAATTATGTTTTATAAGTTCTGTTTTGGTTCTTATATTTTTAAAACAAAGCATATTTTTTGGCATAGAAGTTAAGAGGCACATAAAGTAAGTTCTCCCTTAGATCATCAGTTTAAATTTTATAGAATCTTTTAAATGTTTCATTTATTCAGTCTAAATTCAGGAGTATCAAATTGCATCTTCTCTGACAATCCCAAGTAATGCAAAATATTTAGATGCTCTTTTTATAACTTTTAATTTCTTGCAGGCAGATGTGCTGAACAGAATGTAAAGTTACCATGGCCTTACTAACAATGACAGATATGGAAGGAACAGTATCATCTACTATTCACCAAAATGGTGGCATTGTTGGAAATTCTACCATTGCCAGACAGACAGAACAGCTGTTTCGAATTTACCTTTATAATTGTCCAGGAAAGACAGAAGGTGACTATCTACAGTTTCCAGTTGGAGAGTATGTTGCAGAAGAAATCTGTGTTGCTGCCTGTAAGGCTTGCGGTAAGAACACAAGTTTTTTAATTACTACAAATATATTGTCTTCCTTTGTTGAGATTCAGCAAGAAACAAAATTGCATTTTTTGTTTCGTTTTGTGCTTTCTCTGGACCAAATGAATGATGTGTTCAACTCCTGGAATAGACCCTCTCTTTTCAATATGCAATAGTAACTCATGTTATTCAGACAAATTTTGTATTTATTCTCTCTCTTTCGCGCTCGCTCGCTCACTCTCTCTCCCTCTCCCTCTCTCCCTCTCCCTCTCCCTCTCCCTCTCCCTCTCCCTCTCTCTTCAGTTTGTACACCATCTGATTCCCAAAGACTCCCATTTCCCCTGTCTTCTCTGGCAATAGTCAGCAGAAGAATTTGGTTTCTAATTTATCCACAGTTCAGTCACAATACTGAGTTCAAATGTACTTCAGGTAGTCCCTGGGTTAAGAACACCAAGTTTAAGAACGACCCATAGTTAAGAACAGAGCCTGTTGTAGCAAAATTCAAGTTAAACACACAATGATTCAAGTTCATTACACAATACTACTTATAT